TCGGCGCTAGCTAAGCTTGCTTTTCTCCCTCGGCTTCTGGCCCGGGGTCAGCTTTCTTCTTCACTTCTGACGTCTGCTCGTCCCTCCTCTCTCCTAGCGGAGGACTTTTCTCTTAGAGAAACAGAAACGATCAGGTGGGAACCCTCTGTTCTCCAGGCTGCAGACTCACCTTTCTTATCGCCTACGCTCACTTCTTTCCTTTCTCTCCCGGATCAAGAGTGCCCCTTCTTACTGTCCCCCACTGAACCCTAGATCCAACAAGCTGTATTGGCTCTCTCCTCCCACCCCCACTGCCGAACCTCTTCCCTGGGCCACCTGTCCACACACACAGTTCCTACACTCGGCATCCAGTTCTGACCTCCTTTCCTCCAATTATATTTCTAATTTTTTTTTATCCTCACCCGAGGACTTTTTTCCATTTTTTATTCAGACAGAGTGGGAGGGAGAGAGGGGAAGAGAGAGAGAGAAACATCGACGTGAAAGGGACACATCGAGTGGCTGCCACCCACACAACCCAACCAGGGCCGGGGACAAACTGCAACCGAAGTACGTGCCCTTAGCGGGAACTGAACCCAGGTCTCTCCGGATCGCAGGCCGACGCTCTAACCGCTGAGCCAAACCAGCCAGGGCTGTATTTCTAATTTTTGACTGAAGATCCTCACTTGCATGCTCAGTGCGTCCTCAAATTCAGCATGTCCAATGCTAGCATCTTTATTTACTCTCTGAAATATCGACACTTTCTTGTTTTCCCATTTTGCTGAGTAGTGCCATGATCCACGGAATCACCCCAGTCACAAGTTTGGGCATTTTGTTTGTTTTTACTTCCTAGAATAGTTCTAGAAGTGCACGGGCCAAAACAATCCATTAGCTAGTGGCTACACGCAACTCTGTGAATTTGAATCTAAATTGATGAAAACAGAATACAATTAAAAATGCAGTTCCTCAGGGCCATAGTCACAGTGCCAGGGCTCACTAGCCAGGTGTGACCGGAGTGGACAGGGCTGTCAGGACATGACCATCACTGCCAGAAACTCCAGGGGACAGCTGCTCTAGGGCGGGCTTGCCCTTTGCTCCCGCGTCTCTGTGGCTGAGCCCTTGTGGTTTCTCAGCTGCACTGGTCCTACAGCACCTAGCTCACCTCCTTGTTCTTCCTCACTCCAGTCCATTCTCTTCTCCAAGCAAATGATTTTTATAAGCCCCCTTTCTCCCTTGGGGAGTCATGACAGCACACACTCGAACAGCAGAGTCCTGGCACGTCCGTGTGGTTTTCTTCATGAAGTCGTCAGAGCCTCCCCACCGCCCTTGTCTTTGTATTTGCTGATTGAGCAGTGACTTGGCCTTCCCGACTGAATCACAGTGGTTCCTGCCCTGGGAAAGCAGAGGTGTTTCTTTTATGCTGCGACCCTCCCCGTGGGGACCCCGCTTCAGAGCACGGTTCGTGCTGTCATGTTTGGCTGGACTGTGAGCCCCTGAAAGGCTAGAAACTTACCTTCGTGCTCTACCAGGTTTCCAAAGTATGAAAGAGATGAACTTCTCTCCTGGCATCGGCACAGGTACTGGCTACGTGCAACTTTAGGAGAAATGGGAAGACAGCCTCTCAAATCATGCTCTGTGTTCTGTTGTTAAAGAACGCCGGTGGAGAAATGGATGGCCCTGCCCATATCGAGTCCTCGCTTAGAGGTAGCTGTGGTTCTTGCCCGTCCCCTGACTCCCAGCCACACACTTTGGAGAGACATGCCAGGTGGGCAAAAGTAGGTTTACAGTTGTTCATATGGAAAATAATACAATAATTCATAAATAATAAAACAAGAATAAACTGTGTGTCTCATTAACGCACAACTGTAAACCTACCTTTGCTCAACCCTGTATTTTATTTAATAAAATATCTTAAATAAAAGATGGGTATATTAGCAATTACACAAACTTGGGGGCTTAAAACAACAGAAGTGTTGACCTGACTGGTTTGGCTCAGCAGTTAGAGCGTCAGCCGCGGACTGAAGAGTCGAGGGTTCAATTGCCAGTCACAGGCACGTACCTGGGCTGCAGGCGCCGGGTGGGATCGTGGGGGAGGCAACCCTTCGATGTGTCTCTTTCACGTGGATGTTTCTCTGTCCCTTCCTTCCACTCTATCTAAACATCAGTGGACTGGGTGAGAATTAACAACAGCAACAAAAACCAGATGTGCATTCTCTCAGAATCTGGAGTCCACATGGTCAAGTTGTCACAGGCTGTCCTCCCTGCAACGGCTCTAGAAGAGACTCCTGTCTCGCTTCCTCCCGCGTCTGGTCGCTCTGGTGTTCTTTGACTTGTGGCCAATCTCTGCCTCCACCTCCACCTTCACCTGGCCTTATTCCCTGTGTCTGTCTCAAATCTCCCCCCTTTTCTTCGTAAGGACCCCAGGCATTAGATTTAGGGCTCATCCTATATTCAAGGTAATCTCATCTTGAGCTCCTTAATTACAGCTACAAAATCTATTTCAAAATAAGGTCACATTCACAGGTCCTGGGGGTTAGAACCTGGACATATCTTCTGGGGGGACACAATCCAACCTGTGATGGGTGAGGATCTAACAGCTGTGTTTCTTGCCTTCCTAAGCCTTACCTGGGCGGAACCAGCCAACTCGAGCGTCCATTTCTGTATTCACTGAAATGAAGACCCCCAGCCCGGGTCAGGAGGGAGGAAGGCTGTCTAACCCAGCCAGCTCGCTCGCTTCCCGTGCCAGGCTCATTCCACTCCCTTCAGCTGGGTTTCTTTCACTGCCTGACAGTTATCATTAAATAATAAAGCACAGACCAAAATAAACATGTTCATATCATCCTTTGGTTTTCAAAGACATTCTCAAAGGTCCAAAGCTCTTAAAATGGAAATTGATGTTTAGATGTAGGTGTTGTTCTGAGCATACCTGCCCGTGCACAAGCACGCCGTGGACGACGGCAAGCCCACCTCTCCGTACTCAGAAGGAACGCGGCAAATCACCGTCTTCATGTTTCAGCGTCATCTACATTTTCTACACTGGACATGTTTTGCTTTAGTGATTAGAAGAAACGTTCTTTAAAACATGGGACGTTTTTATAAGTTCCCCAGGAGAGTGTGTACTTTCTAAAAAGCAAGATGAGAGGGCCAATCGGGGTTCTAGGAACAGACCACTGATTGTTTTGCGAAGGGTTCAGATGATCTTTAGATTTTGGAGTGGCATTAACGGTGTTAATTATTCAGGACCTCGCTAGACTTTGATAGCAGGAGAAATGTAAACCCATGGTCTTCACCAGGGAGGCTTCCCTGATGCCAGGAAGCTGGCCTGGTGGGGGAGGGGTCCTCTCCCTTCGCCATACGGGGTGATGAGGCGTCTGCACTGCTCCCGATCTTGGGTCGTAGGGCACTGTTTCATAGTGAGCCCTGCATTCTCCCACCAGCAATACCACTGGGCTCGACAGGCGTGTGTTCTCCAGCCTTCAGACTCTTTTGAGGTCAGCCCTGTGTCTGGAGTGTTGGAGGCCGACACACACTGCCATCCACCCGCCGTCCCTGGACGAGGCCACCGCAGAGCGACAGGCACTTCTTAGCTGCCTCAGTATTGAATGTTCCTCTTTGACTTCTAACATGTTGATGAATTATTGAAATTTCAATTACTTTTGGTTCCCAATGTAGCAGGATGGAGACATCCAAGATACTTAACATGAAAGCTTTACAATCGCTTTTAGAGCAGGGTTTGCCCGGAAGGGTCTTGGCGCCAGGGCTGGCGGGGGTGGGGTTCGAACTGAGGTGCTGCATGGCCTTGGAGGTCCCTCAGGTCAGTGCTGCCCCAGAGCATCGGCATTTCCCCGGAGCTTGTTAGATGTGCACATTCCTGGCCCTTGTCCCCATCTCCTCAGTCAGACTCCCTGGGGGGGGATTCGGTGTTTTTATCAGTCGTGGGGCATTCTGGTGCACCTACCAGTTTGGAAAGCCCTGCCTTCGATGTCCTGGCGCAGATTCTTCCCAGCAGGGCCTGTCACCCGTTCATACGGGCTCATGCGTGCCCCAGTCAGTTTGCCCTTTAAGATAGACATTGCACAAAGTGATACAACTGTGATCAAGGTCATCAGAAAGACCAGTTTTCTACCAACTGTCTTCACCTGCTTGGAACACTTCTCCCTTGGTCACTGAGCCATAACCATAGAGAAGCAGGATTCGGACATTACAATTCTGTGCAGGTAGATGTGTGTTCTAAATGTCAGTCAAAGAGCCCTGTGTTGCATTGGTATACAAAAGCACTGTTTCGGTATTCCTTCCCACTGCCCCAGGGATAATCCCTTCCTGAAGTCCCGGGGAAGCTGTGGGTGCCGCCTGTCTGGTCACCGTAGCCTCGCCCACTTGCCAGGACACCTCTCTCTCCTACACCGCACACCGAATCGCCTGCAGTTGCTCACACACAGCGTGGCCATGCCGCCTGTGCTCTGTGTAAGCTGTTCTCCCAGCCCAGCCCCCGCCCCACCCCCAGAGCCGGGCCTTACTCTCCAGTACAACCCTGTTCACCTGTAAAACTGCTCAGTGCCTCTCCCCCCTTAACCCTTCCCCTTCTCAGCTTCCTACCCCACTTTAGATAGACATTTGTAGCTCTCAAAGGGCACTGTGTTCGAATTCCTTGTCTCTCTCCTGTGAGCTCCGGGTCCCGTGAGAGGGGAGATGCCGTCCTGACTCCTCTCTCTGCAGCACCCAGCACAGCGTCAGGCACGTGAGGCTGAACATACAGACATTCCTTCAAGAGGACCATCCCACCTCTACTGGAGGTGTCCAGTGCCTCGGTGCCATGTTCATCTCGTGTTTGTGAAACACAGGTGCTGGCCAGAGGCAGGTCTGGTTAGAAGACAGTGGCACACACGTGGACTCAGCCGGCTGAGCTGTTCAGTGGAGCTGATCCCATCACGCACACCACTGTCCTACCATCCACCCATCTTGCCGTTTCCCTCTCTGGTCAAGCAAACCACCCATTGTGTCTAAAGGCATTATTATTATTTCAGGTGCGAGAGCTTCAGACTCGACTGCAGAGCGTTCAGGCCACAGGGCCCTCCAGCCCCGGCCGCCTCACGTCTGCCACCCGCCCGGTTAACCCCAGCACCGGGGAGCTGAGCACGAGCAGCAGCAGCAATGACATTCCCATCGCCAAGGTGAGCTTCCGGGACAGCGGGGACACCTCCTGTTGTCTGGACGCACCAGCCTCTCCCGAGCACGGTGCTGTGCAGGCATGCGGTGAGCCCAGATGGCCCGAGGAGCTTCCCCCGGGGTCTCACACCAGCCTTCTATGCTGGGCTGCAGGGAGAGATAACCCACTAATAGTTTTAAGTCTCCTTCAGTGGCAGCCTGGACTCCAGCTCTCATTAATCAGCTGGCTGGAGCATGTCACAACTAACAAGTCGTGGAGAGTGAGATGTTTTGTCAGCGTCTACAGTATAAGGGGTGGGTGGAGAAGTACTCTCGAGGACTAGGGTTTCGCCCGGGAGGGGACCCTGAGTGATGAACCATTACCTCCCCACGCACAGTCTGCCAGCAGAAAAACAGACCGTGATGGGCAGGCCATGGCAGTGGTGAGAAGTAGCCCCTCCCGCTCTCTGCTGCAGCCCTGGGCTCCTATGTTGCGTCCACCCTAGAGACTGTCCCCAGTCCCCCTGCCAGTCTCCAGAAGGAGATTGGTTCTCAGCCATCAAGTTGAGTAAGTTAGGCCAACCAGAAGTGAAGGGGATATTTGCCAGTATCTGAGACATCTCTGATGGTCACCCTGGAGTGCCCCTGGCATCTGTGGCTAGAAGCCAGGGAGGCTGCTCAACACCCTGCAATGCACAGAATGGCCCCTACAGCAGAATATCCAACCCAGACCTGGCTGGTTTTGCTCAGTGGTTAGAGCAGTGGCCTGCAGGCCACAGAGTCCCAGGTTCGATCCCAGCAAGGGCACGTACCTCAGTTCTGACTAGTCCCTGGCCCCAATTGGGATCATATGGGTGGCAACCAATCGATGTGTCTTTCTCACATCAATGTTTCTCTCTCCCTCCCTCCCACTCTGTCTGAAGATAGATGTAAAAATATCCTCGGGTGAGGATTAAAAAAAAAAAAGAATATCCAACCGAAATGTCAGTCATGCTGGGGTTGAAAAGCCCTGGGTTAAACGGATGGTAGAAAAATTGGATGAGTGAGTTGTTTTTAAGATATTAATCAGTTAGTTGTCATGGTTAATCAGTGGCCCCGTACAAACAGTCTGAATAGTTAGTTTATCTGGGGAGTGACGTGTCCTTTTTCGATAACTTGTTTTGATTTTGAAGATTGCTGAGAGGGTGAAGCTGTCCAAGACCAGGTCCGAATCCTCATCGTCGGATCGGCCAGTCCTGGGCTCAGAGATCAGCAGCATTGGGGTGAGTGTCCACAGGAGCCAAGCAACAGTCCCCAGTCAAGCTGCATGGACACTGTCTTAGAGATCATGGAAGAACTTCCAAAGTTCATCTCCACTAAACCAGTTCATTATAAGAATAAGTCACACCCGATTTCCTTCCAAAGAGTCAGACTGAAATGTGTAGTGGTTTCCACACAGTGAATTACTTCTTCAGCTTTAAGGGAGACTTTTTTCCATGACTTGAAACCACTCAGAAAGAAAGGATTTAGGGTTAGTTACTGGTGATGTACGTGATCGTCTTGAACTACTGCTCCCCAGAGACTGAGTGAGCGGGGAGCTCTAGAAGAACGTAGCGTTTGGACACCCCTCTGACCGGCAGAGCTCCCCAGAGGGGGTGACTGCTACCTTTGACGTGCAGCCCGCGGGTAACAGACCAGGGCCTTCCTGCCTGGTCCAGTGTTCATTTGCAGAGCCCTCGAACCACCTGGGGCTGAATGCTGGAAAGGCAGTAGTTTAGGTTCCCTGGGGGACACCTTTTAGGATTGGGGATGTGGCTGGAGGAGCCAGCTGTTTGATCAGAGGTGGAGGGAGCCTGAAGGGCACGTTCAAGGCCCTAATTTAGAATTCTGCACGGAGCAAAGATCACATGCATCCAGATTCCATGCCAAATTTAAATTAAAGGAGTCGGCCACTCTCCTTGGCTGTAGCAGCCAGAGACAAGGGCCTGGAGTGGCAGGGGGTCGGGAAGGGTGAAGGGGATCCAGACTCTGCTCAGTATCCAGAACGTGGGGGCCCCTGCAGAGGCCCTACCCCCTGCAGCACGCCTTCGAAGGGTGGTACTTTGATCCTGTCTGTATTGCTTTCACAGCAGTTAGCTTTTCATACTAGGTTTCTGTTACACCCACAGAAGACCAGGGCACCCATCTCCTCATGCCTGATCCTCAGGGATAGAAGCTTTACATTGTTTTGCATACAAAGCACGCCTGGGGATCGGTGTCCCTGCAGTGACACTGCCCAGAGGAGTGATTAATGCTCACCTGTACAGGTATCCAGCAGCGTGGCAGAACACCTGGCCCACTCTCTCCAGGACTGCTCCAACATCCAAGAAATCTTCCAGACCCTCTACTCACATGGATCTGCCATCTCTGAAAGCAAAATTAGAGAGTTTGAGGTGGAAACGGAGCGGCTGAACAGGTAAGGAGAAGCCCTGTGTGCCTGAGCGGTGGTGGGAGCTGCCCCCACCCCCTTTCAAAGATCGGCTAAGGCAGGCTGTGCATTGTGACAGGGATGTTGTCAGGCCAGTGGGCGGGGACTTCCACCACCTTGTCCATCACAGGAGCGCTTACAGCAAGCGGTCAGGGCTGGCCTTATGGGCGGGGGACCTGTCACTCAGATGCACAGGGCCTCATACTTGGAAGGACCCCACACTCGCTTCGCTGCTCTGCTCTCACTCTGCTAAATTCTTAATAATTTGTGAGCTAGGAGCACCCCGCCTTCTCATTTGGCACCATCCCTCGGAAATTATGTTGTAATTTCCAGAGCCACTCATATAGAATGACAAGTAGCTTGTAATGACACGGTGGCCACCAAGCGTACAGGCCTGTGCTGCCGAGAACCACAGAGAAAGTTCTGGAATGTTGAGTCCGCACCCCTGGGGCGCCCAGAGGCCCCAGGAACCAGCAAAGGCAATCCGATAGAGGCGTTGCTGGAATTAAACAGGCATGCTGGTCTAACCCTCTCTGCTCTCACAGAGGGTTGCCTACATTTATTTATGGTTTTTGCAAATGTGCACCACCCTCAGTTCCTATATTTTGTCTTACTTAGAATAGTTTTACCATATACCCAGTTTTATGGATTCTTCCCAAGTCTCACAACAGAGGGAGTTTGAGTGTGCCCTCCTGCCTCTGGCAGAGACTGACTCGTGGGTCCCCCGCAGTGAGAGAGCTGCAGAAGCAGAAGCAACGGACCAGGGCCAAACCATGGTAACCACTCTGACTCAGAGTCGGTCCCGCAGTGGCAGGATGGACTGTCCAATCTCATCCGAGTGTGGCGTGGCTGCCTTGACCTACCAATCTTCAGTGGGGAAACTTAGTAAGAACTAGAAAGGCTTATGAATTAACCAGGAAGAAATGCGGGTACCATTCCCTATCCACCATTGCTTAATGCCATTCCCCTTGCGTGTGGCGACCCTGAATAAATTGAATTACTGTGTTAGTCCTCCCTGATTTGAAGCTGTGTAATACAGTGCTTGAGAACAAAGGAATGTGGCAAATCTAGGTCATCTTAAATCTTGAAATTAAATGGTTTCCTTATTAAATCCAAAATACTTAAGAGCGACAATCCTGACGATTACCTTGTAGCAGGGAAGAAGCAGCCCTCTTGTTAGCACAGGCCAAGGAGTGCTTAAAAATGGAAGCAGATATGCCCTTTGCAATTTAATGAAGTCAGATGCCTCCAGGGGCCCTGGTTTTCGTGAGGATCTCCTCTCTACAGATTCTGGGATTTAACAAGCCTTCTTTGTCGTTGAACTTGGGGGAGGCTCCTTTCTCTTCAATTATGTGCACCTAGGAAAGACCAAAGAGGGAGGAAATATTTGGTGCTTGTAGCTCACATCATTGTAGTGTTTCACAGTGTACAAAGGGCTCTCACAGACTACCACTTAATTATCAACTTGGGAGGGCAGAGTAGCAGTCCCCTTTTGCAAATGAGAAAACAAAGCCTTCCCCAATGAGTGACTGGCCTTAAGTCCAGAGCTATTGGTCAGCCCAGCCGAAATTCCAAGCCCCACCCTTTTACCTCCATCACCCTCTCTGTGATCATAGTTACAGCTACCACATGGGAGTTCTTAAAAGTGCTCTGACAGTATGTGCTCACATCTGTTATTTAACTACCTATTGCAAAGTTGGAGGTCTATTACACTCCAAAAAGTGACAGCCTTTAACTTTGTGTGTGTGTGTGTGTATGGGGGGGGGGTTATACCTACTCAAAAGTGCTTCCTCATTTAGCAAATCTGTATTAAGCACCTACTATGTGCTAAGCTACTTGGCATGCAAAAGAAAGTAAAATAGGTCCCTGGTCTGATGGAACTTAAATTCTGTTAGGGGAGCTAGACAAAAAGCAAACAAATAAGATGATAAATAATGTTTTAAAAACTCCAAGTAAATAGGACACTGTGGTTGAATGGCAGGGAGGGTTGTTTTCCATAGGTGGCCAGGGAAGGCATCTCTGAAGAGGAAACCTTTAAGCTGAGATTTTAAGGGAGAAAAGTAGCACCCATGTGTCAAAGTAAGAATTGTCTTATGGGCTAACTTATCAACCTCAAGACTGGAAAGAGATCAACAGGAAGTAGGAACTGTCCAGGGGCCAATGGAGCTAAAACAGAGTGAGAGGAGGAGTTAATGAGATGAGGAAGCAGAACAGTCGGGGCTGGATGGGATATGGCTTTTGAGACCAAGGACAAAGTTGGCTCTTTAGTCTAAGTGTCCTTGAAAGTGGTTAAAGAGTTTTAAGTAGGAGAACAGATCTGATTTCAATTCTGAAAGATCACTCAGGGGTGAGGAATGGAAAGGGGTGGGGCAAGAGCAGAAGCAGAGAGTTTGCCGGGCCAGCGTGGCTGATGGAGAGGGTGTGGAGGGCCGAAGATGTTAGCTGGTACGATCAACTGAAACTGCAGCTGCTTTAGATCTGGATGCAAGACCAGGGCATGGTCTCAAAGAAGACTCTCCGGTGTCTCGCCTGTGTGGTGGCATTGACTGAGATGGAGAACAGGGGAGAGGACAAGGTTTGGGAAATCAAGAGTCCCGCTTGGGAGCGTTCAACGTGAGGTGTCAGTGTGACATCCAAATAGAAAAATCAGTGAACACCCAGATATGTGAGGTTGGCCCTCAGAAGAGCAGTCTGGACTGGAGAAATTTGGCAGCCATGGGAACATAAATGCCTGTTGAAGTCATGAGACTGGATAAACATCACCCCCAGGGGACAGTGTTGAAAGAGGAGGGGGCCACTGACTGAGCCCTGAGGAAATGCCAACACCCGCAGATTTTATAGACGGTGAGGAGCCAGCAAAGGAGACAGAAGAAACGGCCTTGAAGGCAGGAAGAAAACCAGAAGAGACCTGTCATGACCCAAATGAGGGACAATATTTTAAGAGGCAGGGGTGGCTCATTTGAGGGGTGTTACCTGAGAAGGCCCCTAAGATGGCTTTGGCCACATGGAGTTCTGTGAGCAGCGTAAACAGTTTGATCTGATTGGTGGGGATCAGGAGTACTTGGAGCAAGTTGGATAGCAACAAGAAAGAAGTCTCCGTGTGCACAAGGAAAGAAAAGTGTGTTCTGGTGGCACTTTACGTTGAACTGACCTTGGAGTTGCCTTACAGGTGTCTTAGTTATACACTCACTAGGCATCTCCCGTGCGGGTGAGTGTCTCTGTATCCTGTTCTCAAATATGTGATTCCAAGATCAGCTCTCAGGCTTCTGTCTCTTTAAGACTTGGTGGTCAGGATACTGCAAATGGGTATATCCCATGGAAAAAAAATCCTTATACCTAGAGGATCAGTGTCCTGAGACAGAAAATGGAGAAGGTAAAAGCTAATGTTTTCTGACTTTGTCATATGCTCGTCTGCTCTGAATTTATAGTCCTGAATCCTGTAAAGCTTGTCCTGCCGGGACCTCATTAGCAGCTGCAGGACTGTCCAACCTGGAAGGAACTTTGGACAAACTCCAGTTCCTGGTCCTCTGCCTGTTGAGGCCTGTCGAGCAGTTTCTTATTCACTCACGAATTCATCGGTTCCTTCTGCTCTGTAACTAGTGGTTAAGAGCACAGGATCTGGGGTCAAACTGCCTGGTTCAAACTCCAGGACAAGGTACTTAACCTTTCTTTGCCTCCACTCCCTCCTCTGAGAAATGAGGATAATGATCCTTAATTCAGAGGGCTCGATGGGGGTGGGGGATATGGAGCGAGGGCTCAGCGTGTCATAGCTACGACTGGGAAGCTGCTCTCTGTCCGTTCCTGCGGTGGGTGGGTCACTGAAGTAAGCAGAGGTGCCTCCAGGAGGGCCTGAGGTCGCCAGCTGCACCCCCCCCCCCCGGCCCCATGCACAGTCGATGTCTGGGGGGGGAAATAACTGGGTGCTCATTTTTATTCCTAATGCTCACAGAATTCAGCGATTCTTTTACTTACAGTTGCTTCCTTTATTGTTTCACAGTAGTTACATTTGTTAAAACATCTGACAGGCTCACATCCTAACCTGCATTTCCAGGCTGAACCCAGACTAGACACCTAAAATATTCGCAAATGAATTGTGATCCTAGTGTGAAATTGTGAAAGATTGTTTTCTTCCTCTGCAGCCGCATCGAACACCTCAAATCCCAGAATGACCTCCTGACCATAACCCTGGAAGAATGCAAAAGCAACGCTGAGAGGATGAGCATGCTGGTGGGCAAATACGAATCCAATGCCACAGCTCTGCGGCTGGCCCTGCAGTACAGGTGGGACTCGGAGGGGCAGGGCTGCCTTCACGTGACAGCGCACCCATGGTCGCCTTCTGCATAAAGTAGAAAGCAGGCTTTTAGCCTGGCCAATGTGGCTCAGGGGTTGAGCATCGACCCATGCACCGAGAGGTCGCTGATTCTATTCCCGGTCAGGGCATGCGCCCAGGTTGCTCAATCCCCAGTATGGGGCCTGTAGGAGGCAGCTGATCGATATTTCTCTCTCATTGATGTTTCTGTCTCTTCCCCCTCTCCCTTCTTCTCTATCCAAAAAAAAAAATCAATAAAAATATATTTAAAAAAGAAAAGAAAGCACGCTTTTAGAAGACATCCTGGGGGCTTGGACCAGCAAATACTAGTATGATACATGTTGAAAATCAGCAAGCACCCTTGTAGCAAGTAAGGAAATAAGAGCAATGAGTATGGTATTGGTAAATAGGTGTGCTTCTGCCAGCATATTTAACTTAAATGTTACTTCACTCAGGCAGCATCACTCTAAATATCTTTGTATTGCATATTCATTTGTTCTTTCCAATAGTTATTCATATTCATACATATTTTACACTGTTGTAAATCTAGTGCCTGTATTTCTTCAACGTGTTATAGTTTTGCAGTGTTGCTTAGTGGTCACCATTTATTTTGAATGGCATATCCCCTTCACCAAGTTTATATATTGTTGTTTTATTTACTCATTTCTCTAAAAAGACTTTTGCAGACTTTGACATTGGAAATAATTCTAGGGTGACTAATGCAGATAATATCTTCATTCTTTTTAACATTTTCCTGGGGATAAAAAGCAGGAATTACCAGTCAAGGGCTAAGGCTCTTCGGGCATGCTGCCAGTTATCCCCACAAAAACAAGCCAGTTTAAACAGCATGATGTGTTCAGTGGTATGAAGATACCACTTTTTTTCAGCCTCATCAGCTTTGGAGTTTATCTACTTTTAAATTACTACTTTTTTAATAGCTACCAAGCGATGCCTTATGATTGTTCTCGTGGGTTTATTTTATTAGTGTCACCACTTAGGCACATTCGTCAGGGTCCCACAGTAGAGACTGTATCTTACTCTTGGCATCCTCTAAAACGTTCAGTGTTGTTCTAAGCAATAGTGTTGCTTCAGTAAACAAAATCACACTGAAATAGACGCGATCAAAGCTGGAGAGCAATCGTGCTTGTTTACAGACACACCAAAGCAAGCAGGTAACCAGTGTTGCTAACTCTGGGAACAGGCTGGTCTGCACCACGGTCGCCTTTCATCCTGCCTTTCATCCCCAGCGGCTCCAGCCTGGACGGAGCAGCTGCCAGCACCCAGGGCTCCTGACTGGGCGCTTTCCCTTCTCTCAGTAAAGGAGGGTGAAAGTCAGGCAACCAAAAAACAGATGGTGTGTCGACTAAATGTTGAGTTAAGCAAAGTTTCCCCTACTCAGCTTGGAGAAGCTAATCGGTTATTCGCTTAGGGGCGGATTTTCCTGGGCATCTTGTCCCAGACCACTCAGACATTGCTCACGTGCTCCACCTCCTTGTGGACATGGGTCCATGCGGGGTCAGCCGAGGGGCACCCGCGGAGATGAGGAGGGGGTCGCTTGTTTGCCCTCTACCTGGTGTGCCCACGACGAGGGGCAGAAGGAAGGGAGTCTAACATTTTTTCTTTTAGACATCCCCAACTCAAACTGGTGTCAGAGATTTTGTATTTTATGAGACAGTTTTACAAGCAACTAATACAACTGTGATGACAGAACTGTCTGTGCTGTCCGGTAGGGTAACTGCTAGCCACATTTGACTATTAAACATGAAATATGGCTACTGCAACCGAGAACCTGAATTTTTCATTTCATTTAACTTACTTTCCGCCCCCCCGCCCCGCCCCCATTTAAATAGCCATATGTGCCCGGGGCTACTGTATTGAATAGTGTAGATCTAAATCAACATGGTCTCCTTTCTGGGACATAATATGAGTTACCCATTATAGTATAACTATTATTATGTCATAGTTTTTAGGGTCAAGAATCTGGGAGTGATTTAGCTAAGGTGGTTATGATTCAGGGTCTCTAGGAGGTTCTGGTCCAGCCGTCGACCAGGACTGTGTCATCCGAAATCTTAAGTACGGCTGGCAGACCTGCTTCTGAGAAGGCCCGTTCACAGGGCAGTACGGTGGCGTCCTCAGCCCGTCACCGCTGTCGGCGGGAAGCCTTGGTTCCTCACTCCATGGCCTCCCCATCGGGTCTTCGGGACATGGCACCAGCCTTCTCTAGAGAGGATGACGAGAGAGAGAGAGAGAGAGAGAGAGACCCCTTGATGGAAGTCAGTGTTTTTTAATAGTCTAATCTTGAATGAGACAAGCCATCACTTCTGCCATATTCTTTTAGTCACCCAGGCCCACCCTGGCACCGTGTGGGACGGGACAGCACACGGGTGTGTGTGGATCCACGTGGAGGCTGTTACCTTTTCCTGTGAGCAGATCACTTGCCTCTCCCACACGTATTGTTTCTTTTGCATTTTTCTGGATTCAGTTTAAAGTTAAAAGGCGGGGGCACAGCACAGCAGACGTGCCCCTGGCTCTGGTCAGGGTTTTCCTCGCTGACTGGACAGCGGGGATGAGCGGCAGGGCTGGCGCGTGGGCGGGCACCGTGGTGGGGCGGGCACCGTGGTGGGGCGGGCACCGTGGTGGGGCGGGCAGCGCAGGGGGGCGGGCTCTGGTGGGGCGGGCTCCGGGGCGGGCTCCGCGGCGGGGTGCCCGTCCGCTGCCCACGTTGAGGGGGTGTGTGCTTCTGTTTCAGCGAGCAGTGCATAGAAGCCTACGAACTCCTCCTGGCGCTGGCAGAGAGCGAGCAGAGCCTCATCCTGGGGCAGTTCCGGGCGGCCGGTGTGGGGTCCTCGCCGGGTGAGTGTCGCCCCCATCTCGGCTGTGGGCATTGAGCACCTCCCCACCACGTGAGGTTCGCCTGTCAAGCGTGTGTTTCGTTTGCTTCCTCCTGAGTGGGTAAATTGTTTATGTTGAATGCAGCAGGAACTGGAGTGGGAACAGAATTGCAGACAAGTTAAAACAAACAAGCCCTCTGAGGAGACACTCTCCCAGGCTGGCGGGGGACCAGATGGCGTGGGAGGCCCACGTCCCTGGGGAAAGCCCTGGCTCTCCCTGGCTCTGTGTGTGGTGCTGGTAGGTAGGGCCCCTTTGCTGCCCCTGTGGCTTTTGCCTCGTCTCCCAGCTTCAGTTGGCTGTGCTTTTCCCAGGCTTTTTCCTTTGGTTAGTTTTGAAACATGAGCTCACTCTGCCTGCCCCAGGTGTCCTGTGAACACAGAGGACGTGGTTCCCCGCCCTGTTCTCGTCACCCTCGTGGAGTACCAACCCCACAGCTGAGGTGGGCACAGGTGCTGCTCACCCACCTCGCCTCCCTGCCCCGGGGCCCTGTATCCTCTCGACTTGGCTTGTTCCTCTGACCTGCGCTGCCCCCACCTCCGTCCCTCAATTTTGAGTCCCTAGAAGGAGTAGTCATTGAAAAGGACAGGAGTGTGGCCTCCTAGTTAGCAGTGTTTTCTGCAGCGTCCCCCGATTGTGGCCTGGTCCCCGCAGTAACACGGAGAGGTCTGCAGGAGAGAGTGCGCGGGAAGCAGATGGGGAAGGAGGTGGACTCTCCAGCGCGGAGGCCTGGAGCCCGCATTCATAGCAGCAGCTTCTTCGGAGAAGTGACAGCAAGTGAACAGAAAACTGAAGTGATGGGTCACCGAGCTGGCATGGGTGGTGTGGGCAGGCCGAGTCCGCAGCGTGGACCAGGCCCCTCAGCCAGGGACTGGCTTTGCTTCACGAGCTGTGAGCCCCATGAGGGCCTGACCTTCCAGGACACGCCTTGCCAAGGTCGCTCTCGGGCACCTCGGGAATGAACCGCCCCATCCCCGTCCTTGCCATTGGCCCCCCTTGTCTGGGGTCGAGCTTTTCCACTGAACACTCACACATTTTCCCCTTCGGTTCTGACATGTGCAGGGATCTGACACACATCTGAAGGAAAGGAAGTGTCCCGGGCATTAATTTCCTGCTTCACGTGCCAGTCACCAGGGAGGCAGCGGCCCCTCTGCACGGGACCCATCCCCCACTCCTCTCCGGGTCGGGTCGTTCAGTAGTATTACCACCTCAGCCCAGAAGTAGAAACTCTGCCAGCATTTCCATTAGAAACCTCATTTTTTAGCATCTTTTAACTGAACCATAAAACTTTATTCCTCATATTAAACAGATCTTAAAATGATCTTGGCCTGCTGTCAAGTTTTTTTAATATATGTATTAAGAAAACCAATCAATTAAAGGGAAAAAATCAATCATCTTATTTCCAGTTTGTATCAGAGGAATGTTTTAAACCATTTTGTCCTGGAAAGTTACCTTTTACTGGGCTGGCATCTGCTCATCACAGTCACTGGGCAGGGCCGGGAAGTGTGTTATCTGTGGGAGGAGGAGGCAGGGAGGTTGAGAGAGACCGGCCCGAGGGAGGCCCGGGCGGCAGCCTGCAGGACACGGTGCCCACGTTCTCCCCGCCCTCCACGTGCTGGGTCTGTAACCCGCACTGACATGGCAGCTGACCTGCCGTCTGCCCTAACCGCCCGACAGTAGCTCGGCCAAGCAGTACTAGTGTATGACATCGGCCTGTAGTATCTATTGTTGTGGGTTTTTTCTTTGTTTCTTGTCGATGGCACAGGCACCCAGCTGTTCGTTCTCGATGATTTAGACGGTGTGGTTTTCAAACTGCCCGGGGAGGGGTTTCCTTGGGCCTCAGCAGTGGGCTTGGAGGGTGGGGCAGCTGAATGTATGACCCCACCCCGGCCACGCCACTTGTACTATTTTGTATCTTGGGCATGGGCAACAATTTTTATTGAAAACATCTGGGAGACCGTGGCTGTAGGCTGCAGAGATGGGAAACTGGTAACTTGTTTGAACAGTAGAGTTGTAAACACACCAAGAGCAGGAGCACCTGGGCAGGGGGTTCCACTCTGCGCCGTGTCCCCCTCCCCCTCCCCCTCCCCTCTCCCTCCGACTGGCTCCTGGAGGCACTGAGCTTGCCGCCGACCATGGCGAAGCTCAGAGAGGGGTCAGGGACAGCATCAGGACAGAAAACGCGGAGCCAATGTGAAGTTCCCACTTTAACGGTTACCTTTGTCACCATTGCCTACACAAAGCTCTAACTAAAACCATAGCCTCGGGAGATAGGACAGAGTTTTCCCTCCGGTTGGCCCTGTCCTCACTCTCGGGGAAATGCCAACGTGGGAATACGGCCAAGCCATAGACCTGTGACGGGGTGGGAAGAGAACCAGGAGCCTGGGTGATGAGAGCAGCATAGCTTGGAAACAGACCTCAGAGATCACGTTGACCAGCCTCACTTGTTGATGAGGGCAGCGGGGTCTGGAGCAGAGGAGAGCCTCCCCGAGTACAACTCCTCAGGACAGAGCCAGGCCCGGGACACGGCGTCCCTGCTGGTTCCTCTCCCCCATGCCTCTGCCCTGGGAATGAGGGTCCAGACCTCCCCCAGGCTCGTCTTCCCTACACCTGGTTGATTAATGCATTGGCTTCCCTCAGGAGACCAGTCCGGGGATGAGAACATCACTCAGATGCTCAAGCGAGCTCACGACTGCCGGAAGACGGCGGAGAACGCGGCCAAGGCCCTGCTCATGAAGCTGGACGGCAGCTGCGGGGGAGCCTTCGCCGTGGCCGGCTGCAGCGTGCAGCCCTGGGAGAGCCTGTCCTCCAACAGCCACACCAGGTAACGCTCGGCCTTGCTGCCGTGAGACGCACGCGTGTCCACGTGCCGTCTGCTCGCTGGGCTTGACACGCAGGGACCCAGTCTTGGGGACTGTGAGGCTCGGCTAAGAGCAGAATTCTCTCCTGGCTTGCAGCCTGCTCGGTCCAAGGAGGAGCCGGAGAATCCGAGTGGGAAACTAGGCAGGGCCTGCTCATCTGTGGAAACTGCCCCCCAGAGAGAAGGGTGGTTCATTCACCTACCTTCCCGTCAGGGCTCTTTCTCCTGGTTTCCTTCTGTTCTCCATTTCTTTGTAGTTCTTGATTTCCTAGAAGCATTTGGGGTAGCCGTTTGCTGCGAATGGTCTAGCCTCCCATGGCCCGGACCGCTGTGCCCTGCGTCCAGTCCCCCTCTCCCCCCTCTGGTGCCTCTGTGCTCTGGGGGCTCTTCTCGGGCAGTGCGGCCTCCTCCTCGTCTCCTCGGTCTCCTCCGTCTCGTGGACTGATGCCACGTCCACGGCACGTGCGTGACACATACTTAGCCATGAACCTGAGTTCAAGTCTGGGTCTAGAAAACTGAAGCGATACTTGAAAACGATGAGGACGGCAGTGAAGACCTGCTAAACATCACTTACTGGAGCTATTGGGTTTTTTTGGATGGGGGGTGGGGGCAACGAAACTTTTGTATGAAAACTTTTCTGGTGACCTTCTCATTTCTTGCCACCCACCGAAGCCCTAAAAAATCGAATGCCTTCCCTTTATCTACCAGTTCTCAATCTAGGAAGTACTTTGTTAGAAATTCTTATGTAATAACCAAATCTTAAAAGACAGAAAGGGTAACGTACCCCCATTTTCACGGGTGGGAAAACCTTGTCTTACAGATGTGTAAGTGACTTACCCAAACGAGGTCGCATGGCTGGTAGATAAGAGGGAACTCAGGACTCGAACCAGGACTTCAGCACCAGGCATATTGTTGGCCTCACTCTCCCAGGCTGGGTCTCGTGACGTTAAAACACAGTGTCGCCCTGGCCGGTTTGGCTCAGCGGTTGGAGCGTCAACCTGCGGTACAGAAAACACGTCTACCTGCAGATCCAGTGACTCGAGCCGCTCTCGACTCTCAAGAGCTCAAGGAGAAAAACTGATGTTTTCTTAGTGCCTGAAAGCAGTCTAATGTTTCCATCTCTCTTTCCCACTGGCAGGGCACGGCCATCTGCCCGAGTGCACCCATTTACCTGTCCTGGACCTGTGCCTCAGGAAAGGGCACGTTCCCAATAATGCACTTGGCCAGGTGCCCACAAACCCAAGGGACTTCTTTTCTCTGGACTCCACCAACAATCGTCTCATTCACCGACGCACAGATTAGAATTTATTTTTCCTTAAAACCAGATTCTTCTGTCAGAACACAGAAAGCAGATGCTCTTCCTGACGACTTCTCCAGATGTGTGTTCTGTAATTTCTGTGCTCGTTCGCAGGGGAGCGGCGCTCTCGTGCTGCCGGTGACCTTGCTCTGGAGTCGGTGAGCGTAGGATCGGTGGGCAGGAAGTGTGTGCTGTTTCAGTGGCTTATCACGTGAGCATTGCAGATCTTTTGCTCACACCTCCCCGCCCCAAAAGTAATTTTGTCGTTTTAATCCAAATCAGAGACAGATTTGAGGTCAGTTAGGCCCTCGCCATTCATTTAGTAGAAATCCTGGTTTTGAATGTTTGTTAGAGATACAGATGAACCTTGATTTTGAGGAAATTTTCATAGAGATACTTAATTTTAGGGGCTATGTATTTCTGCAGGTCAAGGTCAGTTCAGCTCACAGTCTCTGTTTGCAAGGACGACCTCACTAGAGAATGGCCCTTGAACTCATTTCAGTCTCCAGAGGGTCTTCCCATCAAAGTACAGAGGACTTCAGCGCAGATTTCACTCTGTGCTCCTTAAAAGCTCACGTTCACACTCCCACCCAAATCAGAGCGGCTCAGAGTGGGTGCTGAAGAACCACACCCGGGGCTTCCATGTGCGCCCCCGTTCCTAGGTCACGACACCGCTGCACTGCTTCATGCCGAACAGGGCTCAGCAGCCACCAAGCCGTTCCCAACTCTAACGATCCACGTTGTTTGTGACTCTTCCCGTTCAAGTTCAGCATCCTCCCAGGTCAAGTTTGGGGTGGGGGGGAGGAGCTTTCTGAGTTGGGTTCTATGTGGCTCTGTAAGTCCCCCTCCCCCACTGTAACCAGCTGGCACAGAGAACTCTCACGAGAGGGAGGGGCAGCTGCCCCTCCGGGTCTCAGGAAAGGACTGTGGGTATCGGGCCCCGGAGGCCTTCCTGGCAGCACACAGACAGCGCCTGATGACAAGAGGGTCAAGGTTTGGGAAAGGAGCAGAAGCATATTGACCAGCAAGGAGAATAAAAATGGTAGCTAGCCCGTCATTGACTGTTGGCAGGAGCCCAGGGACGCTCTATTCACTCTTGAAAAATAAAACTGTGGCCTCATCTGAAAGTGTAATTGTCTTAATGGATGGGGTGACCAGGTAATGTTGATGGCCTGGATAGCTTTGTGAGCATCATCACAACAGAGAGGCACATGCACTGAACCGTTGGAAGTAGGAGTCTTAAACCACCCGTTCTGTCAGGCATCACGGATTCAGTGGACCCACAGTGGGTCTCAGTCTACAAAGGGACATGTGGCTGAGACGGAGAAGCCTCAGCGAGTCTGTCCTCGCGGAAACTAGAGTCTTTTCTGTCCCCCATCGGTGGGGACCATGTGAGGATGGGGACCGCAGCCCTGGGTGAGCCCTGGGCACCTCCAGGGAGCCAGGGACACCCCCTGCTGACCGCTCACGCTGGGGCGCATCCTGCCGTTGGAATGGAGGGCAGTGCAGCTCACGATGCCCACCTCTGAGCTCATCTTGATTAAGGTAATGTTTCGTTGGAGAAGAAAGAAAGGTTGGGGACAGTGGAATCATGCCCATGGAAAGGATGAATGGCATTAAAACAACCATCAGTTAGGAGTTGTCACGAGAGGGAGAGAGAGAAGATGGAAGGATACACCCAGAACAGCACTAGAAGACACCGGCAGCCCTGACCGGGTGGCTCAGTTGGTGGGAGCATCATCTCATGCACCAGAAGGTTGCAGGTTTGATCCCTTGTGGCACATACGTGAGGCAACTGATGGATGTCTCTTTCTCACATCAAAGTTTCTTTCTCTCTTCCTCCCTCTGCTGGTTAATAGTAAGATTGATATAAAAATATATGTAAATAAAAGACACAGGGAGGTGACAACCTGCCCGGAGGACTTACGCGTGGCTGACATGGCCACCTGTCGCCTGGGCCAACCCCCTCCTCCAAATACTTTTTAAGTGTCCAGCAAAACAGAAGGCCCATCTCATGGCACTTTTCTTCCGAAAATAAGCTGCTCCTTGGCACAGTGAGATCTCGTCTGGGGCCTGGTAAAACGGTAAAACTTCAGAAAAAAAAATCCATCTCCAGTTTCAAGGCAAAGGAAATACTCTGCTAGCCCTTTGCCAAGACAATATGAGGAAGCTCAAGAAAAATGGATTTTTCTTCTAAAGAGCAGTATAGGCAGTTGTCTTGAGCCCAAGGATGGGACATGGAGAGGGACAGAGAGAGGATAATTGAAATCAAAGGCTGCTTGAATCCACCTGCATCTATGTCCCACCGTGGCCAGGGCGGAAGGGGACGGGGGTCGCAGGCCTGGCCCGTGCAGGCTTCCCCCGGCTGCAGGCCGCCTCGGTGCCGTTGCCCCAAGATCTGCCTGCAACTAACGGACACGGAACAAAACCAGCACGAGGGGGGCTCAAGCAGAGCATCACAGAAAGGACACCCCCATGCAACCTGGCCCAGCTTCTCGCAAAACAAAAATGCGCAGCACCCAGCCGTGGGTGGGCCGGGTTTTTTCCTCTGCAGCCCTTTCCACAGTCCCTCTCAGAGAACACGCACCACCTCCCACCCTGCAAAGTGATTTATTCACTCTTGACAACTGAGATCATCCAGCATTCCAAGTAGGGAGAGCTAATGGATGACCTAACCCTCACCCAGCACCAGCAGCAAGCCCTCGGGAGGCCGGCAGCGCCTCTGTCTGCAGGAGGCCAGAGGAAAGGCCAGTGGCTTCCCCTCCTTCTACCGCCATCGTAATCATATTCCACAGCACAACACTAAGGGCACAGCGCAGAATCGCCATTAACCTCGCCTGATCTGCTCCCTGCTGGTGTCCTGGGAGGGGGAGAGGGGAGCCAGGGGGTGCAGGGCTGTGGTGCTTATCTTGAAATTAAACTTTCCCCTGGTAAAAGCATTTTAAAGCTCTGAGCTTCTGACGGGTAGGATCTGTGCAAGGAGCTCTTTTGTTCTTTTCTCGTCTTCTTCCTTCCTGAAAACTGTACCCTTCGCAGAGATGGTGAAACAAAAGCCCTGCCCGCCTGGCTGGGGATCAAGCCCCGGGCCCTAGAGGGGTCCAGGACACCCCAAAGCCTGCCAGCCTCTGCCCACCTGCACTCGTGTCTCCCAGAGGGTCTAGGTGGTTTCTCAAATGAGGGCAGGCACTTGCTGCTTTGCTTCTCCCTCAGACGGTTTTCTGGATGACATTCGGGAGTTCCAAAGTGCTCTGGGGACGGGGACTGGAAGGATCCCGCCTTGGTCTCAGCCCAGAAAGCTGCGGGGATTTGCTCTGGGCCCTGAAGCGGGGCAGTGGGGGAGGAAGTGCGCTTCCTCAGGCCTGCTGGTGTCAGCCACCTGCTGGTCATCACTGGCACCCACATCCGCCCCGGGGCACGGGCCTCTCCCTAGAGAATTCAGGAGGGTCCCATTATCTCACAAGCTATAATGCAAATGCCCCCACTTATCCCTCAGGGTAGACCAGTTGTTCTCAAACCTGGCCGCGCCTAATAATCACAGGAAGAGAGAGGTGATGTCTTAAAATGCAGTTTATTAGGCCCCCCCTCCAGGGTTCCCGATTCCTGCTGTTCTTGGGGGCGGGCCTGGGAATGTGAATTCCCACCAAGCTCCCAGGTGACGCTGCTGTCGCCAGCCCAGCGACGACTCCTTGACAACCACAGGGGCAGACCAACCGTGCTAAGTGGAGAATCGGCCACCATAGTATCATGTCAGTGTCCACAGAGTAATTCGAGAACTCTAGCTCCTAGTGCTCTTTGAATTTTTGAAATTTTCTTAAGTGTAAGAAAACAAAGGTTGCCTCAAATATACATGTTATGTTTCTTAATAATCTGAAGAAAATATGACAAAAAGGTCATCTGGGTAATAGGTGCATGGGTATTGGGTATTCTCCGTATTTTTCTGTATGTTTACTGTTTTTCAAAATAATGTTTAATGAAGGGAGAACTAGGATTGTAAAGTGGCCCTCTGGCCCGTAGTCCCAGCTTTGGGGGAAAGGATTTCATACCTGGAGCCACCTCCCAACCCTGGAAGGGAAGTGTTGGTGTCTCTGGACCACGCCGTCTAGACGCCTTGCACCCAAGGGCGCACCTCGCACTCAGCCCCGGGAGTGCTTTGTGAGCGAGCCAGCACTTCAGTGTGCTTTGATTCTGTTGCTCATTTGTCTGCAACATTAGGTCTGTCACTCGGTATCAGTGTTGACGACCCATGGAGGTGTCCTACTGAAATGGCTGTGCCTACCACCGAGCTGCGCACGCAGGCCTGTAGGTCTTCAGGGAAGGACACGGAGATGCTGAGGGAGGGACCCGTGTTTTCTCCCTTGACTAAGACCCCTTACTGGCAGTGATGCCCCGCAGTCCCTGGGTCCTCTGCTGTGGATACTGTTTGCTCCTCCACGCTTCTCGTGCTGCTCCACTTCTCATTGAAATTACGCCCGGAGTGTCCCATCTGCAGGGTGTTGCTTCTTCTCCATCCTCATTCTTTTTCAGTGCAGCTTGAGGAAACATGGCAATGTTGATTAAAAGTTGTATCCTCCTTCCCGTCTTCCCAGCTTTCGCCATCTCGCCCCAAGATGGTTGCAGTAGCCCCTGGTCTCCTTGCCTTGGTCCATCTCCCCTCGGTGCAGCAGCCTGCAGGGTCCTGTTGAAATGTAAGGCAGATCCTGTCAGAGGAAAAGACACGAACAACCCTTAGAAAATACTACTGGACCTGGCACCTTCCCTTCCCACACATACCCTCCTCTCTGACCAATTCTCCTCCCTCTCCCCTTGCTGACTCTGATTCAGCCACAATCTCATTCTTGCTGGCCAAGCTCACTGCCTCAGGGGCTTTGCCTTTGCCAAGTCCTCTGCTGGGATCTCTGTTCCTCCAACTATCCACAGGGCTTCCTTTCTCCTCTTTCAGGTCTACTCAGTGTAACCTCGTCCGCAGGCCTTCCCTACAATTCTGCTTTGAAGAATGACCCACCCTCTCTCTGCACGCTCTGTAATGGCTTCATTTTCTCCGAGATCTGTCTCAGTGTCTGATGTACTGTGTATTTACTCACTTGTCTTCCCTATTAGACTATGAGTCCCACTAGGACAGAGGTTTTTCTAGGGCCTAGAAGAGTGCCCTGCAGTAGGTGCTCCGGGATTTCTTAATTAATGATAGCTACATTTATTGAGTGCTCACTGTGTGCTGGGCACTATTCTAAACACTCCCATTTTACCACTTTTATCCTATCACGACCTTATGAGGATGACTGCTGGTGCTCTCATTGTGTAGGTGAGGAAATTGGCAGAGAGGCTGAGTCATGTTCCCTCTATAGCTACACGGTGTGTAAGGTGCTGAGTCACAGGTAAAAGTAGTCACAGGTAAAAAGTATTCGGTTCTCCAGAGAAATGGAACCAATAAGGGGTGGGTGTGTGGTGTGAGGACTGATTGATTGATTTTAAGGAACTGGCTCAGCCTGGCCAGTTTGGCTCAGCGGTTAGAGTGTCGGCCTGTGGACCAGAGTCGCTTGGGGTCATGTGGGTGGCAGCCAGTCGATGTGTCTTTCTCACACTGATGTTTCTCTCTCTCTCTCTCTTCCCCCCTCTCTTCCTCCTGCTCTATCTGAAGATAAATGCAAAAATGTCCTCAGATGAGGATAAAAAAAAAAGGGAATTGGCTCATGTGATTGTGGGGACTGCAAGTCCTAAATCTATAGGCAGGCACTGGAGACCCAAGGGAGCGTTGACGTTATAGTCTTGAGTCTGGACACTGGCTGGAGGCAGAGTCTTTTCTTTCTTTCGAGATCTCGGTCTTTTCTTTTAAGGATTTCAGCTAATTGAATGAGTCCCACCCACATTGTGGAGGCAAATCTGCTTTATTCAAAGTCCTGTCTGTACGTCCACCTATATTTATGACTCACATAAGATTTTGTATCCTATTTCCTCACTTAAAATATCTCCACCATTGTCATAATTACCACGCCAATGTCCACATAATTTCCCTTCTTTTGCTGTGTACTGTAACTCACTAAACCTATAGTCCATGAAATATCTTTGTTTATACGTATCTTGTTGCTTTTGTGGAATTATTTCCTTAGAGTTCGCTCCTAGGACTCACCCTGTTGTGTTAAAGGGTATAAATATGTCTGTTATGCTCTTTATTTATTTCCTAAAAGTCAGTATCGACGAACTGTGCCGTGAAGACTGCCATCTGAACCCTGCTGGAGAGACAGGGTGTGGAGGAGAGCGAGGAGGAAGGACCTGCTGGCGGAGGCTTGGAAACGTGATGGCTTTTCTTTGTCTTCTCAGCACAACCAGCTCCACGGCCAGCAGCTGCGACACGGAGTTTACGAAGGAAGATGAGCTCCGGCTGAAGGACTACATCCAGCAGCTCAAGAAGGACAGGGCCGCGGTCAAGCTGACCATGCTGGAGCTGGAGAGCATCCACATCGACCCTCTCAGCTACGACGTCAAGCCCCGGGGGGACAGCCAGCGGCTGGACCTCGAAAACGCAGTGCTGATGCAGGAGCTGATGGCCATGAAGGTACCCCTGGGTGTGGGCCTGGTGGAGAACCTGCTCCGTTCACCCCACTGTCGCCGGGAGGAAGATAAAAGGCCCCTGAAAACAGGGCAGCTGATGAGCGGTCAGCCCCGTTCCTGCTGGGTCGCCCCTCCCCAGAGGAAAGCCAGAGCCTTGTTGGTAGACAAGGACAGTTCCCATAGGTCACAGGGTCCCGTGGGCTGGACGTATTCCTGAAGGGGTGAGTCGAACTCTGGAGAACGCCCAGCGTGCCCAGCTTTGGGGCGCCTCGTTCTCCAAGACAAGGCCCCTCAGACCTCTGCAGGCTGGAGCAGCCTCTGTCCACTGAAAAGGACCCCAATTTCCAGAAGCCTACAAGGGCCTCTCTTGTTGATTCTGATGTTAACGGGAACCCAGAGAGCAGGTGAGGCCAGGTGGGTGAGAGCCTGGTTTCCTGACACCCTTGTCCTTTTGGTGCCGTGGGGACCCTGCTCAGATAGAACGCCCTCCAGTGGGGTTTGCTGGTGTCTCCTGATGCAACCTTGGGCGGTTCACCCGGATGGCTGTTACCTGCTGGCGTCTCCAGAGCAGGGCTGTTTCCTGGACAGCTGCTGCCTCCCACTGGGAAGTGGTTAAACCACCACCTTCAACAGGACACGTGCTCACTGCTGGCCAGGGGCCTCCACCTGCTCCATGCTTTCCCAGAAGACAGCTGTGCTATGATAAAGGCTCTGTCTGGCACTTGTTCCCAGTTCTTAGCATGGAGTTTCAAAAACCCTTGGGATTTTCTGAGTGACAGGAGGGTCTTGATGATGTAATGAGGGGACAGGCCCTCAGATAGCTTCAGGATGGGGCCTGGTCACCCCAAGGACCAAGCATGTGATTAAAGGGTTGACACTTTCAACACCTTGACCTCCAGGACTTATCGGTCCCGCCCACTCTACTCAGACCTGACTTCTGCTCCCTCTGGGGAACCTCATGCAGTGTTGGCTGATTTCTCCTCTCATTGCCCATGAGCTGGGCACTGGGTCCATAACACAGTATCTTTTTTCAACTAATCGGGAGCCCTCTTTGTGGGCCTGTGCACCCTGTGGCGTGAGCTGGGAGGCTGCCCCTCCACTGTGTATTCCAACACCGTGTTCCTTTGGCCAAAGACTAAGGATTCCTTTTTCTATTCAAGCCAGTATGTTGTGTGATAAATTCAGTGTTGTTCTGACCAGGAAAGACATTTTTTGTGGAATAAAAGCACTAATACTCCCTTTGCTACTTGAAAATAAAATGTATGCACATCACCGAAATTTTCTGAAAGAATAGATGTTATAAAAAGCTTGGAGAGAAGTAACTCATCATAATCTGATCCAGGGGCAGCCGTTGCCAACGTTCTGGCTCAGCCTCCGGGCTCCCTCCCTCCCCGTGTTTGAAGGATGAGCATCAGGTCCTCTCTTCCCTGTGTGTCCCCAGCAGTGTGTCAGGGACTCACCACACCCAGTACAGTAGCAGAAGGTTGTTGCTTTTCTCCATTTCGTTCTAGACTCTAGCTGGGTTGTTTTTACTTCTTGTATGTGATCTTTTGTAAACACCTTTCCATTTCCAGTGACTGATGTTGTTCCTTTTCAGAGCCACTTTTCTTTTTTTGACTCAAGCTGTTTTTATTTTATTCACTTTTTTATTGTTGTAAGTATCACAGATGCCCCCCCCCATTGGCTCCTCCTCCCTGCTCCCCCCCCCCCAGTCCTGCCTTCCCCAGCCTAACGTCCGTGTCCATTGCTCGTGCATATAAGCATGTAAGTCCTTTGGTTCCTTTCATTACAGTTCCTCTTCCTTTATCTCTTTGTTTTAAGTAGTTTCTGGTTTTTCAGTTGTTATTTCTGGTTCTCATAAATGCTGATTCTGCCTCAACCTGATTCATTTTATTTCCTCTTTGTGTTTAGGGGAGACCGTCTGTGTCTTCCATGGGCCCTCTAGGTCCTGGGTGGTAGGTGACCCACATGGTAGTTCTGCACTTAGATCTGTTGGGACTCGTGGGTTTGAGAGGGTTAGGGTTAGTTTCTGTTATATATTTAGCTTAAGGTTCCTGTTCCACATCTACCCATGCCCCAGCTTGTGGTTCTGACTATTCTGACTACTCAAGAGGCTTTCCTGTTTCTTCCCACCCAAAGGCAGAGTGATGACGCGTTTCCCTGCCGTGTCTCTAGGAGGGAACCCGGTCTGTGGGTCTGGGCAGCGCGCTGAGAGTCCTGGCCTGTGGGTCTCAGTCCTGGCTCTCTGCCCTGCCCCTGCCCTTGCAGAGGTGCTAAAAGCCCAGGTCCTGGGCCTCCTCATGCGGCTGCACCTCTGTTGGCCATCACGATGGTTACCCCACCTTTCCCCTTGGGCGGCCGTCTCCTCTTCAGTGACTGGCACCCATCTCTCCTTCTTTCCTGCATTTGTGTTTGTCCTGGATATGACTGTCCCCATTAGCTCAGTACGCAGTTTCCAGAACCTTCAGAATCCTGCTGCTTTGGCAAACAATTAGAAGGGTCCAGTGTATGAAAACCTTTCATTCTGGTTTTGTATCTCATCTTTAGAAGAGGGTTGGCATCTGTTTTGAGTAGTCACTGAGTACATTTTCTTGTCCATATCTGATGCCCCCCAGCCCTGAGTATTGCAAGGTGTAGTGGGTGGCTTTTCCCCTAGGGCTAGTGTATCCAGGGAAGCACACCAGGCCTGTGGCTTATCACCTCAGATAAGGGCGACTCCGGGGCTGACTAGACTCAGTGACCATGGCGAATCCCTCTCATGGCAGTGACTCAGCGGTATGAAGACTCCTCTTAAGTAAGACCGTGGAGACTGCCCTGTGGTCATGTGACGGCGGGCCCACCTTCCAGCAGAAGTGAGGGGACAGCAGTCATGCATGGGCTCCCCTTAAAAGGAGATGGGGGGGTGGGCTATAGCTTAGTGGCTAAGAGCCTGGGCGCTGAGCCAGATGGCCTGGCTTCAAACTCTGGCTCCACAGCCCTCCCAGTAATTGTGAGCAGATGGACCTCCCTCTGCAGGCCTCGTTTTTCCATCATAAATGGAGATACTCATAATGCCTACCTCAGGTTGGGAGGATTAAGTGACTTACTTTGTACAAACATCTAACACAGTGCTGCATGCTCACTGAACACTGGTGGCTGCTGTTGTTATCTGGCTCCCTGGTCCAGCTCCGCCTCGTCCCATTTGGGAGTCACTGTGTATTCTCCACAGAAAAACTCTAATCGGAGTCCTCTAAGGTGCTTTGAAGGACTCTATTTCTGTGGACAAGAGCTGGGGGTGATATCACTGCTGTGGGTGTTCCCCTCCTGTCTCTCTCAGGTACAGGGCACCAAGGTTGCTGTCAGGGGTGATCAGATGTGTGAGTTGGTGCCACGGAAAGTGGAAAAGGAAATGGGAATTGGAACCTAGTCGGAGCCCACCTTCTGTGGGGGACCCTCCTTCACAACCTCTCTGTCGGATGAAGCTTAGACTCCACCTCCCGGGAAACCGGTTTCCAGCAGGGCAGTGTGCCCCTGCGGGGCGGGGGGTTTTCTCCTTGCAGTGAAGGGAAATCTGCCTGCCTGTGTGTTCTGTGCATTGATCTCAGTTCTGGTCCATGGAGTGACGCAGCACGGGGCTTGACTACACGTCAGTTCTTCACGTACATGGAGACAGCTGTCCCATCACCTCCGGCAGCCCTGTCCCCCGCTGCAAGGGGTCACCCCACCGCAGCCCCGTGGCCATCCCCGCAGACCCCTTCCCACGCGCCTGCCTCCCCCCGCCCAGCTGGGCTCAGCTCAACCGCCTCATGTGCTCTGTCTCTGTAGGAGGAGATGGCGGAGCTGAAGGCTCAGCTCTACCTGCTGGAGAAGGAGAAGAAGGCCCTGGAGCTGAAGCTGAGCACCCGGGAGGCCCAGGAGCAGGCCTACCTGGTGCACATTGAGCACCTGAAGTCCGAGGTGGAGGAGCACAGGGAGCAGCGTGTGCGGTCCCTCGGCTCCACCAGCAGCGGCGGCAAAGACAAAGGCGCCAAGGTGGGTCCCGAGCTGGGCCTCACTCCTGCCCCATCCCCTCACTGCCCTAGGCCTCGCTTCCCTTCTTTGCGTAGGAACTGCAAGCCACTCTAATAACCTAAAAGAAGGTGATACCGAGGACAAAGAAACCAAATTTACAGTTTTTACAATCTCACCTTGTGTAATGGTGGAATCATTTTCTCAGATTGTGGTCTTATGAGGGGAGGGATCTGTGCAGCTGTCCGAAGGTCTAATACCAGTGTCGCCTCCTGTGTCTGTCCCGGTGCACACAGGGGCCATCATCTGTGGGCCCCTTCTGCACCAGTCACGGAGCCCTCAGGAAGCATCATGATATCCATTTACCTGAGGAAAATGAGGCTCAGAAGAAGTGAAGGGTCTCAGAGATAATCAATTGCAGAATCGGGGTTTCACCCCACTTTGGCTCACAGGCCCTCCTCCTCTCATCCTCGACTCCTGTTGGCGTTTCCGCCCTCAGCGAGGTGGGGAGCAGGAAGCAGCCTGAGCAGAGGCCTGGAGCACACAGAGATCACAGCAGTGTCCTCAGGTGATGTCATTTTGCAAACGCATATTCTCATCGGCCCACAAGTCCTTTTGTCTAGAATCCAAGCTCATTCTGCCATACTGCATTTCAGCATTATTTCAAATAGTACACGAGAGGGGGGAAAAGCTTTGGACCTAAAGGATTATATTCCTTGTCCCAGGGCACTGAAGTTCTGTGCATTGCATTTTCTGTTGCTAATAAATGCTAGGTTCTCCTGACCCCGGTTTATTTCAGACCCAAGATGCGGGGCTGTCTCCAGGAGAGTCATGGTCCTGGGAAGGAAGCCGGGTACTGGTGCCGTGTGGCGGTGAACTGTCACTTCCAATGGTGAAGAACTTTGAAGCATGCTTCACCTAGAGCCACCTCGCGCCTACTAAGGAGCCCAGGGCATCCGTAATGTGGCACCCAGCAGGGCCAGCTCTCCCGGGACCCCAGCTGCTTCTCAGTTATCTGCTCATTTGATACATTGTGATTTGGTCCTGGCGAAGTGCTGGGGACAATTCCAGGTTTACAATTCAGTGCGGGACACTGATGAGCACATAGAGGATCGTAACACAGTGACAAAATGTCCTGAGTTTGAGGATTGATTCCAAGCATGATGGGAGCCCAGACGCAGAGTCTGGGTTTGGAGCTTCAAGACAGGTTTCCTGAGCTGAGACCCAGTGGGAAGTGGGAGCGAACCTGATGAAGGGGGGCAGGGAAGAAAGTCCACTCTAGGCTAGTGGAGCACCAGAGGGAAGAGGAATTTGCACACAGCTGTGCTTTCCTGAGGACAGGGAGGAATTGCTGGCAGGTTTGCCCCCGCGGTGATGTGACAGCGAGGGTACCGTGAAACCATCTGCCCATTTGGGGGAACTACATAGTGCTGTTTCATGTGGTGGTACCGGGCTCAGGGAGGGGGTTCTCTCTTCCATGCCTACACCTTAAAAATCTTCACAGAGCCTCTCGAGTTCATTGGCAGTCACTTGGGGACAGAGCCCGAGAGACAGAGCTCCAGTGTCTGTCTGTGTGCTCAGGGCGTGGCGGAAACGGACTTCGAGATTCTTGCCAGGAGGCCCACGAGCTGAGCATTTTCCCCTGGTTCTTGGCATTTATTTGACTGGGGGAAGCACTGTGCTTTGTGGAATAGCTTCAAAGTACAGAAGTTTCTCTGACAGAAAAGACCTGATGTTGTTGTTTTTTAACATTAGAATAAGGAGCTTTGCAAAAGTACCTTGGGTTGTTCAGGTAATGAAATCAGAGTAAGCCCATCCTCTTGTCTTGCAAATATTGGAACCATTTACAATGGCAATAAATCCTTCTGGGCTATTCCGTTTTCTTATTTGTTGGTAGACGAAGCACATCGTCCAGAGCCAGGGTTGGAGAACTGTAGAGTCACAGAGCCAATAGTTTAGGGGTTTTGAGTCCTGTGGACTCGGCGGCACCTGCTTGACCTGCTGAAGAACTGCTGTGCGGGAGCAGGGACAGCGCAGGCGAGTGGGCGTGGCCCCGTCCCAATAACTCCTCATTTATGGACGCTGCCAGTTGAATTTCATGTCATTTCTAACATCACTAAATATTCTTTGAATATTTTTTCATGATTTTAAAAATAGAAAAACCATTCTTAGCCCACGGGCCTTATAAGAATAGGGAGCAGGATGGATTCGGGTCCAGAACATCCGATCTTGCCCTGTAGGGTGGGGTCCTGCTTGTTTTCAAACTTCCCTCCAGCCAACAAGCTGGAACCAAGTCTCATCCAAGCTGCACCAGGTCTTTCCATTTCTTGTCTCTCTGCAACAGATGTTCCCGAGCATGTTCAGTGAGAGGCACGGGTGAGACAAAGCTGTCCCTGTCTTTAAAGAGTCTTGGGAAAAGTTCACATCACATTGGAGTTTACGTACAGAAATGGAGGCTGTTGGCGTCTCCCAGAGTCCATGGGCTGGGGGGGGGGTGCTGGATCTGCAGGACAGATAGGTGGAGAAGAGGGAGGGAGAGCCATGCAGGCAGAGGGCACAGCGGTGGGAGGGGTGGTCAGATGATGGCTGTGCTGCTGAGGGGACCCCCCCTGGGCGTGGTAGCATTTCTATATCTGTGGGCTGAGGGAGACACAGTGCCGTCCTGTCATCGGGACTTCTAGCACTAAATTCACACTTCTGTGTGGCTCTCCTAGCATCTCGATATAACTTTGTTTACATCTGCAACAGATCACAGACTTTTTATTCTCAAGCCTGGGCTGTAGTAGTTGTTCAGTAAATGTCTGTTGAGCAAATCATCAGATGAGTGCCCTCCCCTGGCCAGTTACTATGCAGCATGCTGCAGCCCTGGGGGGGTCGGGGGGGGCTGGAAGGGGGCTGGACAGGTGTGATGCTGCTTGATGAAGTGTTAGCTCAGTTTGGGATGCAGAAGTTCATTTGGTCTGGAGATGTCCATGCTCCTGTCTAATGCTATAACATGGGTGCAGATGCACTTGTTTTCCTCCTTCCTTCTGAGTTTTCTGGATGATGACACTGACCTCACTAAAGCTCCTAAATGTGGAGAAGATGGGTTCTCTTCTGAGGAGAGGTGGGGCTGGGGTCAAGGATGCTCACATGTTGTTTGCACTTGTCTTTGAGGAGTTATGAGAGGCTGGCTCAGGTGCAGAGCCCTGATCTGCAGCCCCGACCTGGGTTAGGATCCTCATTCCACCACGCCCTAGCGGGTGACTTGGGGCAGTGTAACTCTGTGCCTTTGTTTTCTCCTTGGTAGAATGGGGGTCATGATAGTATCCGCCTCAGAGTGTCATCATGACAATTAAATAAGAGGACGTGTGTGTGTCCACTTAGACCAGTGCCTGGCACTGCCCGGAGTCCACTGCCCACTGGCCAGCCTGCGGAGGTCTCGGATACCTGGAGCGGAGCTGCAGTTGTCCGCATGGGTTCCCGGTCTAACATGCACCCGTTTGCTGTTTGCAGGAGTGTGCTGACGCTGCCTCTCCAGCTCTGTCCCTGGCTGAACTCAGGACCACACACAGCGACAGTGAGCTGGCTGCAGAGTTCGCCGATGCCATCCGTCGGTAAGTGCCCTTTCCATGACCCCGCTAAGCAGTGTCTTCTGGGAACGGCAGCTCTATCCTGAGTTCTCTTGGCTGCTCATGCCAGTGCTCCTGGACGGTGCCGGCCTGCCCAGGAAGGAGGAGCTCCAGCTGTGTCCAGTTTGGTGTTGGGCCCAATGCTGAGTATTTTATTTTGGTAACGAGATCGATCATCTCTTTAATGATCCGTCCTGCTTTTGTCCAGTCCTCCCTGGCCCGACTTGGAGAAGCCCTGTTGGCGCCAGACCTTTTAGAAGGGGGCTGATGGGAGGGTACGTAGGTGGTCATTTCACCCGTAGATAGAAACTGTCCCTTTCTTGGCTGTTTTTGTTGTGTTGTTGAGTTGGCTGGAACCTTCAGGACAGTGTTCAGTGGTGACCATCGAAACAGGCATCTCCTTGTTCCCAGCTTTCGTGGGAAGGCTGCCCTCAGCACCGCCGCTTGTTCTATCCTGGACATTTCCCTCTATTGTTTGTGTTTCTTCCCCTTTACTTTCTCTCCTTCTGCAAGGACCTGGCTCTGTCCTCACATCCTCACTCACCACATTCTGCACTCGGCACTGGAGATGCGCCGTCCAGCAGAAATGCACGCAGTCCGCACACGGCATGTAGGCTTTCTAGGAGCCAGATTTAGAAAGTCAAAGAAACGGGTGAAATCCAGATTAATAACATACTTTATATACTCAGTGTATCCAAAATGTTAACATATTTTATATACCCAATGTATCCAAAATAGTATTTCATGCCCTGGCCAGTTTGGCTCAGCAGTTAGAGTGTCGGCCCGTGGACCAGAGAGATCCAGGTTCAGTTCCCGCTAAGGGCACATACCTCGGTTGCAGTTTGTCCCCGGCTCCGGTTGGGGTCCTTGGGTGGCAACCACTCCATGTGTGTGTGTCTCTCTCTCTTCCTCCCTCTCCACCCCTCCCTGCCGCTCTATCTGAAGATAAATGCAAAAATGTCCTCGGGTGAGGATAAAAAATTTTTTTTCAAAATAGTATTTCAACATGTAATCAATATTTGTAAAGATACATTAATTAGATGATAATGATTATAATTTTTATTATTATTTGTGCCGAGTTTTCAAAATCTGGTCCACGTTTCACACTGTGGCACATCCGAGCCAGCCCGTGGGCGGGGGCTCGGTAGCTCAGTGTCTGTGGCTGCTCGACCGGGTGGTGTGGTTCCCAGAGGTTCTTGAGCTCCGTTGTGCAGCTCACTGATTTATTCCTTCGGGTGTGCACTGTGGTGCTGGCTCACATGCCGAGCTTTTTATTTTGGTGATGAGATCTGTCATCTCTTTAGTGCTGTGGATATTTATTATACTGGTTCTGAAATGTTACTTTGCTATACTGACTCTGTTTGCTCACATCACATCTTTTTAGAATTGAGTTTTGTGACCTTTCTTGGTGTTGGCTCACAAGCCCAGGTTCTGGGCTTTCTCTTCCTCCTGGCCCATAACAGCTCTTCAGGCTGCAACTCTGACCCAAGCCCCCGGCCCCTCCTGTCCTGCTGCCAGCGCCTCTGGCTGGAGCCCCCGGAGACCCTTCTCCGAACAGCATTCTTCTGTTGCATTCTGTGTTGTGGTTTCCCTTTCCAGGAAGAATAAAAATCTTCCTTATTTTTTATACAATTGCTCATCATCTCTGGTATACAAAGAACACTCCTGCTTTCTAACATGTTCAGGGACTTTTTAAAAAAACACATTTCCCATCCTTTCTGGGCTTGGGGGAAGGCGGAGAAGCAGCCCAGGAAAATGCCCTCGGCGAATCCTGGTGGCTTCCCTGTGCCAGAAGCATGGGGCTCAGACCCGCTGCCCGCCGCCCACCTGGAGCTGTTTGGATACAGTGGCTGCAAGCTAAGCCCCGCCCCCCGTTTTTAAATTCCCAGAACCTCAGGCCTTTGCTGGCTCCGAGAGGATGCAGGCTCTGCTGACTCAGCACAAGCAGATCTCACTGGCTCTGCGGCTGAGTGCATTTCCAATAGCCAGCCTGAGCTGGTTAGCATGGATTTCTAATCAAGACCCAGATGTATGGAGCCCAGACAGAACCCACAGGGCTACAGGGGAAAGGGCAGGAACGTAATTACACTGTAAACAGAGCTTCAAAACTGGAATACTCATTTCACAAGGGTATAGCACATAGACACCTGAGGGCTGAGGTTTGGGGATATTTTTATTTTTAAAAATCAAGTGGAAACTAACACCTTCTTTGAAGATATTAAAGCACCACCAAGCTACTGGTTGAAATCAGTTGAAGGAAGCTTCCCAGCAGTTTCAGAAACATTTCTCCCTTAAAAAAGGCATCTGTGGGCCCGGTATCCAGATTCAAGAGCAGGTAGAGGGGGGAGGGGAAGAGGCTAAGCAGTGGTCTGCGCTTGAGGAGAACCAGCCAACCCGAAGGAAGGGGCCCTGTGACCTTCAGCCACCACGGTTCCTGCCCCGTCCCAGCCTGGTCTCCCCAGACCTTGCCGGGCTTCAGCCTCCACTGGGCCCTTGCCCCTGACCCTGCTCTCATTGTGGCTTCTCCCAGCCTCCCCCTGTTTGGAACAGAACCAGGACCGCACGCAGTCCCACGTTTACTACAAACCTCCCATCTGCTCTGACTCCAACCCCTCCGTGTCCGAGAACGTTTGTTGTGGTCTCTTGCTCCGGTCTCGCCATCAAGCCCCATCTGGAAGGCCGGTTCCAGTCCCACACACGCAGCTCCCTGTCCAGGGGCCTTGTTTCTGCTGCTGTCACAGTGGGCTGCGGGCTGCGAACCGCTCTCCTCAGACCCCTCTCGCTCTTCATCCTGGTGAAATGTAACCGAGTGGTCTTTACACCAAAGAAGTGAACTGGAAACGTGTGGTTGGGGAGAGTGCGCGTTCAGAAATGACCCTTCTTTGTGCTTAATGGGCTGGTGCCGTCTGCCCTGGGGACCTGTGCACAGCTGATTCATCTCCATCATACTCTGGGAGACAGTGGGGGACAGGTGGGGATCTCCATGCGAGGGGTTGGGGGTGGAGTAGGCACAGCAAGGCTGAGTGGTTTCCCAAGGTCACACAGCGGGTCACTGAGAACTCAGGCCTCCACCTGCTCTGCTGGCCCCACACGCTGCGGGAAGTTTGCTTACAGATACGTGTGAGCCGAGCCCACTGGCTGGGCTCACCTGTCTGTAGGGTCTGGATACACAGGAGCCTCCATGTTCCTGGTCCTTGACCGTGCATCTGTCCCCCAAATGCTGGGGTGGGGTCAGACTTCCTCAGTCGCACAGACCCCAGGTTGTGTTGGTTGGTTGAAAAGTAAGGAGGCTGTACTCCTCTGTGCCTGGGGACAAGGAGTAGTCAGGATGAGTCCACATCCACCAGCCACTGAGCCCCAAGCAGCAGGACCCCGTTCAGTGGGAGGTCCGGACTGGCGCCAGCTCCCACACAGCCCTCTGCTGAGCCCTTCAGGACCTGGGCTCTGCCACCTGTCTGCACACGTGCCAGATGGCCCTGTAAGATGCAGTAGCCACTCTTAGGGACAGGTGTGCCCGACTCAGCAAGTGGAAGGGGAGAGCAGGGACTTCCTCTCATCTCTCTGATGAGGTGACAGCAGGCCACTGGGCTTAGAGAGGGCGCGTGTCAGACCTCCGTGAGGGGACGGGCAGCCTGCCTGGGGGGGGGGGTGGTCTCGGGGGGCCCAGGTGCCATGTGTGCCTCCACTCGGGGCTGTGAGGCAACATCTCAGAGCTCAAGGAGGCAGAGTGGGATCCCCCAGTGGCCCTGGCCTGTGCCCTTCCCCCGCACTGTATGGGTTACTAGTGGTTGGAGCAGCTCTGGATAACAGACCCTGACATGTCCGCCCGCAGGGGTGACACAAAGGTCAAGGAAAGAGTGTTTCCAAGCAAGGAGGACACTGCTTCACACTGCAGTGGGCTAAGGGGAGAGGCCCCTGGGGACCGCTGGTCGGGGAGGGGTTGCCATGCGGAGAGATCAAGGAAGCTTCCCAAGCGTGGAGACTGCAGAGCGCATCTGTGTGCTCCCGGGAATGACCCCGTACAAGGTGGGATTTCTCAGGGTCACAGAGGAACTTGGCAACATGCAAATCTGATGGTTCCCCCTACCAGTGTTCTGTCACTGTGCAGCAAATGAACACAGACTTAGTGGCTTAACACAGTACCCAGTTATTATCTCTGAGTTTACGTGGGTCAGAAATCTTGTCAGGCAGCCATGAAGGTGTCGCCCAGGACCACGGTCTCCTCTGGAGGCTCTCAGGAAAAATCTGCTTCCAAGCTTGTTCTGCATATTGGCACAACTCCGATCCTTGCGGTTGTAGGGCTGAGGTCCCATTTTTGCTGGCTGCTGGCCGCCGCAGTAACTCAGCTCCTGGGCCTCCCGCATCCCTTCTGCACCAGCCCCTCCATGCTCAACGCCAGTAGCGAGAGCCTCCCTCTCATCACATCCCTTCTCTGCTTCAGATCACTTTCCAGGAAGAGCCCAGTCCCTTTAAGGACTCACCTAATTAGATCAGGTCTACCTGGAATAATTTCTTAAGGTCAGCTGCTTGGGGCTCAGAGCGGCCCCTAGATAGTGTTTGAATAACTGGGAGGTGTGTGTACTCAAGGGCCAACATTTTGGGAGCAGTTTTAGAAGACGGCCCACCACACCTCATCACGTGAAACCTCCCGGTGATGCCAGTGGTCCACTCCAAATGCTTCAGCAAGTGTGGGATGGGACCCCACTGCTTCTCCACCCTCGCCCCCATCTCCCTCCCACCCTGAGCCACACCAGACCCCTGACTCCCTTGTGCCTTTGGGACTTGACTCTGGCTGATACCGCTGCTCTTGCCCCACCCAGCCCACGCCCCAAGCACTCACGTGGTCTGCGGAATGGATGCCGCCCTGTCTGCACTGTCTCTGGGCACTTCCTGCCTCCACCTCCAAGCAGAGAGCACTACCCCACCCCCACACCACTTTCCTTGTTCCTCTTCTCGGTGCCCTGGATTTTCTTCATCATAGAACC